GGCGGGCGGCAGGGTTAAAGGGGCCCTCTGGAGAGGCTGCAGGGCCAGGGGAGGGGGGGCTTAGCCGCTGGCCCTGGCAAGGAGGGCCATGGGCGGGGGGGGTTGCTTGCTGCTGTGCACTGCGAGGCTTTCAGACGTTCCGGCCTTCCCTTCTTCCAAGGGCTGATCACCTGTAAGGCCTGCTCCTGCTTTCTGCCCTGAGCCAGAACCCCGTGCCCCTGAGCAGCGTGCTCTGAAGCCTGTGGGGCAGACGCACGGACCTTCTGCCTCTTCTCTCTCAGCCTTGAGGATGGTTTTGTGTACGTAACGCTGTGCGATTCCTTCCTCGAAGACTGGAACACCTGCCATCCTGCAGCCCCTTGCAGGGATGTTTTCAGACGGGGGAAGCGTTTTGGTCGTGTCCCACTGCGTCATTTCTGACTTACGGCACCCGGTGAATTGAGTGACGTCCAAAGGTGGTTTCAGTTTGCAGCCTGTCTTTGCCTTTGGAAATGCAAGGCTGTACTTGATTGCTGTATTGAGTTAATCCCTCTCGTGTTTGGTCTTCCCCTCTTTTCCTGCTGCCTCGTCCTTTCCCCATCATTCTTCTCTCTCCCGTAAGCCTTGTCTTCTTGTGATGTGACCAAAATATCCAGTGAGAGTACAGGCTAGTTTTGTGCTAAGACCCACTTATTTGCCTCCCTGGCAGGCCAAGGGCAGCGCCCAGAAAGGAGCTGGAGGGTAAAAGAGGCCAGTGGACGCCAACCTTGGCTGAGCTCCACTGGCCGTTTTCCGAGGTTTTGGTCACCTTCTGGCTGAGTCCACCCTTGTTTGGGGCGTTTCCGTTTAGCCACAGAGCCTTTGGTCTTGTGGCCAGTTTGGGCCAGGAGATGGCCGTGCTGTGACCCCTGCCTCCTGATCAGGGGTGTTCCCGCGGTCCCTTCTTCTGCCCCTTTGGCCCCTCTCATGGGGCTGCCTTAGCACCACCTCTGTCCGCAGGAGCCCCAGTGGGCACCGGAGGCCACGCCAGAGATGGGACCGAGGCAGAGTCCCGAAAGGAACCGTTGCAGTGCGATAGGGAGGATGTGCCCGACCTCTGGTGGTGGGTCAGGAGTTGCGGCAAAGATCCGAGCGTGCGCCGTCTGTGTTTGGCCTTTTTCTCTTTTCCTCTTTGGGAGGCTGGAGCCCGTCCCCCCCCCCGAGGCATTTGTTCCATTTCCCACCCATAAAAGCGCTGCTGCTCTTAGACCTCTGAAAGGACTAGCAGTCTCAGAGTTCCCGGCTGAATGTGGGCCCCGGGGACATACGTGTGGGTTGACTCAGACGTGCAGGGTGGGAAGCGTCCCCTCCAAGCACAGCCGCAGAAACTGGGTGCGGCAGGGCTGTCGCGCACGCCGGCGTGCCTGCGGTTCCCCCAGTGATCATCCCTTGCCCCCTTTTCGTTTTGCAGGTGAAGCAGAGTGGGGAACCCCTTCCCCCCCAGTCGCCACCATGGTCGCCCTGTCGCTCAAGATTAGCATCGGCAACGTGGTGAAGACCATGCAGTTTGAGCCCTCCACCATGGTGTACGACGCCTGCCGGATCATCCGTGAGCGAGTGCCAGAGGCACAGATGGGCCAGCGTAAGTGACGCCGCCGGGGTGTGCGCGCACGCCCCCTCCAGCCAGGGCAGCTGCCCCTTCCCTGCCTCCTTTCTGGGGGGGGGAGGCTGGCAGGGGTTCTCCCCCATCTGGATGACTTTGGGTCCCATGCCTCCCACAGGCGGGGACACGCACACGTGCACAGACATGCAAGCACACATGTGCAGGCACGCACACGTGAGCGCTTCTGCACATGTTACACAGGTGCACTCTCCTACCGCAGAGATGGCCAGGAGCCGGCGGAGTCGCTTGGGACCCTGGGGTGGGTGGCGCCTCTTCCGGATAGGTCTGGGCTGGGGCAGACGATGGGGATTGTCCTGTGCCCGCCCTTCAGAGCCACCCCAGGCCCGGCAGGTGGCTTAGAAAGGCTGAGCAGCAGAAGTGCTTACCCCACCCCCACCCCCCCGTGCCCTCCTCATGTCTTGGGTGGAGCTGCCACCCTCGCCCTCTCCCAAACAGCAGCTGGACTCAAGCCCTCTCTCTCTCGGCCTTCGAGAAAAGAGCCCCGTAGCTGAACAGGCCGGGATGTGTGCGTCTGCTGGCATGTGGGTTTAAAAATAAAAATGGTGCTGGGGCCTTTGGGGGGGGGAACTCTTCCACAGCCCCAAGAAAACGGGGAACGGGGGGGGGATGACAATTTTTTCTGAAAAAGTTCTGTCGTTCCATTTTGTTACCAATGGGTGGGTGGGTGGGTGGGGGCTCTTGGGGTCCTGCTCTGAGATCAAGAGGGAAAGAGGACGGAGGCAGGTGCACAGAAATCGAAGAGGGTCAGCATGCTGGCCCTCCGGCTTCCCCGGGGAGGTCCCTTCCCAGTTGACATGCAGGTGCCGTTTCAGGTGGCCTGAGGAGAGACAGAAGCCGGAGCCTCGGCCCGTCCACCTCCTGGTCTGAAAAAAAGTGACGTTGGGTTTTTTCCCCCTCCTGGCTGAAAGAGCTTGGCTGGAAACTGCCTCAGAATGGAAGGCCTGCCCACCCAGGGCGTGGCGGGTGATTTGCCCTCCCTGCCGCCCCACCAGCGTTGTGGGGACAGAGGGGCAAAGGGCAACCTCCGTAGCCCGGGGGGGGGGCAAGACGGATCCCTCTCGGGACTCCCAGGGATTACAGACCCTGGCGAGTGTGGGGGAAGGACGCCACCCTCTGCATGAGCCCCCGTTGCCACAGGGGGCAACAGGTGGAGGGGTGGGGGGGCAAAGTGTCCCCTGCGGCCGGGTGTTCTCTCCTGGGGAATCGCTTCCAGCCCTCCGTGCGCAGCTGATGCAGGCTGTGGTGAGAGGGGGTGCCACAGCAGTGTGTCCTAGTGGCTCTGGCTGAATGTTGTGGCCATGAAAGTGGGGGGGGTTGCATGGGGCTGGGGCTGCCCCGTGGATTCCCCAGAAGAGTCTCCCTCCCTCTCCCTCACCCCATCTCTCTCTCTCTCTCTCTCTCTCTCTCTCTCTTGCTTTTCTTTAGCCAACGACTTTGGCCTCTTTCTGTCGGACGAGGACCCAAAGAAAGGGATCTGGCTGGAAGCCGGGAAGGCCTTGGACTACTACATGCTTCGCAATGGAGTAAGCCCCCCCTCCCCTCCATTACGCCGCCCACCTGCCTCTTGTGGACTCCCTGGCAGGAATTGCTGAACTCTGGAAGGGCCTCCCGGCTGCTGAGTGGGCTGAAAGGCATGGCTGCCCCCCAGCTTCACATCCTCTCTCTCCCCCTCCCTGCCCATCCCCACGGCCACTTGGATGCCTCGATGGGATCTGGCCCCTGGGCCGCAGGATCTGAGGAGGGCAGCAGCCCCACCTCCCTCCCTCCCTCCTCCCGCCCACCAGTCCTGGAAGGCATGGGCCCCCCCTCGTAGCCCCCTGCATCCTTGTCCTGCCCTGAGAGTTCTCGGCACCGTCCCTGCACGCGCCCCCGCCCCCGGCCGCCTCCTCGGGTGGGCACAGCAGGTGCCTTGGCCCCTTTCCCCTCAACGTCCTCTTCCCCGACCCTGAATCCCGGAGACAGCCTTGGTCCTGACCCTGAACGCCATCCCTCTGTGTCCCTGCCCTGGTTTCTCAGGACACGATGGAGTACAAGAAAAAGCAGCGGCCCCTGAAGATCCGTATGCTGGACGGCACTGTCAAGACGGTCATGGTGGACGACTCCAAAACCGTCACGGACATGCTGATGACCATTTGCGCCAGGATCGGTGGGTGCCTGGGAGCCCCAGGGCCCACAGAGGCTGGGAGAGGGGGACAGGGCTGCCCTCCTTCCCCGCAGCGTCTCTCCAACACCTTGGAAGCCAAGGCAGACCCTCTGCCCTTAGGGACAAAGGGGTTAGGGGTCCCCTGGGACCCAAGGGGCCTGGGCCACGGGCCAGCTGGGCCATGGTCCCCCACCCCCACCAGGGCCCACAGAGGTTGCAGTGGCGGTCGCGCCGTCCCCTGCTCTTCTTCTTGCCCCCAGCCCCCCCCGTACCCCACCCCACCAGGCGGCTGCTCTTTCGGCAGGGCAGG